TACATTTGTTATATATTATTGCTGCGTGGGTTACTTTATGGATTACCTACTGGATCTGTTTGAATGATTTTGATCGATTTTGGTGTTTAACTGACTATCTTTGATTGAGTCTCGTATGAATAGGATTACTTTAACGGTGGTCTATGATAAAAAATTTAAAGCAATTTTTTTTTTTTAATTGACTATTTTCCGTCTGTTGCAATTCGAGTTTGAACTATGTATAATATTTTGTTTTGCCTCTGATTTGGAGATATTATCTGCTTAATTTTATGGTTTCTTTGTGTATGTGGGCTATGTATGTATGTATTTAGTTCATTTGTGAGGATGTGGAGGATTGCAAGGCAAAAACTTGGAGCTGGAGGATTTCCTGTTCCGGTAGGTCTTTCAATCGTATGTTTTGATTTTGAAAAATGAAGATTTTTTTGCATCTAATAGATAGTATTTAATTTCAGATTTTAGAACAATCCTTGCAGAGGATACAATAGCCTGCAGTATCTGCGTTGAGATGTTATTCATCTGCTACCAAAGAGGTAGTTGTGGATTATGTTCATTGTGTTGTTGTTCAATTTTTTCGTTTTTCTTTTATGCTTATTTGGTTGTTTAGATATGTTAGAATTAATTTTATTTCATGAGCTGATTTTTCCTATTTTGAAAATCATGAAAACATCAATTAGGTTATTGAAAACTTAACTTCTCACTTTATTTTTTATTTTTTAAATTTATTTATTTATTTAGTTATTTATTTATTGTCAAATACCATGACCTGATTCTAACATATCCCTTTTTGGTAATGTTTATTGAGATGTTGGTAATGTTTATTTATTGAGATGTTGGTTATGTTTTTTTTTTTTTCCAGTTAAATTCTCAACCTTAGAACTTTCTTTGTTTTTTTAATTCTGTTGTATGTGTATTTTATTTATTTATTTATTTTTGTTCTAATTTTGTTTCCACCTTATGTCATTTAGTTTTCACTACTCATGAATTGCAATGTGTGACATGGAAATTGCTCTCATTGTTGTTATTATTATTGTTTTATTTCGTTTCAGGTGTTGTCTTTCAATCGCAATCTGAATTCTGCAAAGTTTCAATCAAGTATTTTTGGTACTGTTGTTCCTGGCAAGCCATCTTCCTTACAGTTGAGTAATCCACTGTTTCCTCTTTGTGCAGTTGAGTAGTGTTTGCTTATATTGTGATGAACACAAAATGATTTGGTCCAAACCATACAGAAAATGTATTGGTAGGAGTATGCAGCCTATCAAAGCAACTGCAATGCCTCCTACAGTTGTTCTTCAACCTACATCTCGTATTATTCTTTGTTTCAGTTTTTTATTAACTATGTATGTAATTTATTTTCCTTCGATAAAAAATTGACATTATCTTTGGGATTCTTTGTGCTATAGTAGAAATCTGGTGATCAACATTTGGTAAATAAATATTATATACCCCTACTTTTGTTCAGGGTATGTCCAGTGAAAGTTACTTGTTAACTTCTGTTTCATCTTTAGATTTTTTTGGGGAAGTATATCATCTTTAGATTGGATGTTCCTTATGTTTTTTCACTCTTTTTGTTCAATTCCCCCACTGGTATTTGCCAGATGAAGAAGATCACTGTGCTGAGGTCCACAATAACCAATCTTCAGCCTAAGGTAGGGTCCATACTTCTTTCTAACTCTTTTTAGTGTGTTGAATTTCTTTTGTGGTGTGTAGTGTGGCTATGTAATGATCAGCTGTTGCAACTGCTACTTTTGATAGATCTTAGTTGGATTAACACTTGAAAATTTCTCTGTAACCATATATATTCTATATCAAGGATTCAAATGTGGGTCTGACAAACGTAACCCATTGTCCCTGTGATTGATTTGAATAGAAGTAGCTAAATCAGTTGTACAATATTATCTTGAACAGTATGATTACCCAATTCTATAAACAGTTCTACATTTAGGATATTTTTGATCACTCATTAATCTCAGTTGTTTTGGGGTGGTCCATTTACCATATTTATTGTGCCTTATATTTTCTATAGGCAATCATTTTTGTTTTATTTGTATTTGTTTTAAATAATGTATTGTTAATGTTAGACAAAAGAAAACACCTAAACCGATATGGAATATGATAGTGAAAAAAATGTCAATTTTTCTCTATACTATACAGTAAATAATGTATTGTTCCTCTTGCTATTAGGCTCCATTTTCAAGTTATCCCTATACAGTTAGGTTCAATCATCTGAGGAGGCATCTTATATGTCATGCATATGTGTATTTAAATGCATGAAAAGTGTCTAGTGATGCACTAATTCTGTGATTACATGTCAAAATGATATATAAATTTGGTGTAAAAATTGGTAATCACACAACAATACTCTACAAAAAGTAGGCATCTTGCATTTGGAGATGAAAACAATTTTGTTCAATGATAGAATAGATGTGTGTGCGTTACATTTTCTAAATTTTGTGGTTACCAGATGTCATATGATGAATTTTGTTGTGAAGCTACATACCATCTACAGATTTGATTGGCAGCAGTAGCACTAACTGGTTTGCATTTTAATTTTAATTTCTTTAAAATTGTAGAGCACTAGCTGATGTGCATTATTTGATATTTAATTTTATTTTTTATATTTGATTTGTTTGGAATTATAGAGTACAGTAACTGGTGTGCATTTTAATTTTAATTTCTTTTAAATTGTAGAGCACTGGCTGGTGTGCATTATTTGATATTTAATTTTTTTTATATTTAATTTGTTTGGAATTGTAGAATACAGTCTGTTAAATATATTTTTATAACTGCATTTTAATCTTAATATTATTTACACCGTGCCTTTAGGCACGGGCATGTGCTAGTCCATCAATAAAATAAAAATAATTTGAGAAAGAGAAAAAAAAATTCAGTCAAAAAAAAGTTGAGATAAAGAACGGGAAAAACCGTGGAGAATTGATTGATCATAATTGATATATTATAACAAAAAAAATAAATGAGGAACAAAAAGTTTCAGTTAAAAAATTAAGAGGAAAAAATGAAAAAACTGTTTCAGTTTTTTTTTTTTTTTAAAAAAAAAGAAAACCAATGCTAGAACTCAAATAATAAATAAAATAAAAAGAAAATTGAGAGAGAAAAAAGTTTCAGTTAAAAAAAATTTTGAAAGAAAGAAAATGGTGCAAATGGGTTTAAATAGGGTGATTATATGCATAAGAAATTGAAAAAGAAATGGAAAAATATGCTCTGTTTTAAAGAAAGTGGACAAAATCTTGGACGACATTGTGAGTCATCGCTCCTCTCACACCCTTCGGCTGTCGTTGTGCTGCATTTGGTACCATATGGATTTTCGTTTTACAATAATAAAATATATATTTTTTTAAACAAATTTTTTTAAAAAAAAAAATTAAGAACAATGAATTCTTTCTTTACAAAAAACACAAAAAATAAATAAATAAATAAATTTTATTTCTTATTTTGTATTTTTTTTTCCCCAAAGAACTTGATAACATAATGGAAAGTTTAAGGACACTGTTGTTTTTTCTAAACACACACACACACAAATTTAAAATTAAAGAAAACCCAAAAAAAAAAAAACTACAAAATAACATAATAGAAATTTTAATAACATTGATTTTTTTAAACAACACGCGCACACACACACATACAAAATTAAGAAAACAAACAAACAAATTTTTAATGCTGTATTTTTTTCTCCCAAAAAACCTGATTATATAATAAACTTTTTAATGAAGAAAATAAAAATTATAATTAACAATATTACACTTACCGTGCAAGATGAGCAGTAAATATATATTTTGAACAACCACTCTATCAACTTGCAACAAAACTATAAGATTGCAATGTTCTTGAATAGTCTTCCTCTACACACACACACAAAAAAATTAAAAATAAAAACAGAAAGAAAGAAAGAAAAAAGTTCTTGAATACTTGAATAGTCTTTCTCAAAAAAAAAAAAAAAGTTTTTGAATAGAGTGAAGATGGTGAAATGTGGAACTTACACAGTAGTTTGTTATAAATTTAAAATATATATATATATATATAAAGAAAAAAAAAAGAGAGAAAAGATGGTGAAACGTAGAACTGCACAGCAATTTGTGAAATGTGGGAAGTAGAAAAGTGGAAGTTATTTAGTAAGTTAGTAATTTACAATTTGACCCTTAATTACAAATTGATATAAGTTTTAAAATAATAAATTATTTAAGAAGTTATGGTCATTTTAAAAAATAAAATAAAATAAAATAAAATTTTAAACCAGACTTCATGGCACCAAAATTAGTGTTCATTTTTAATAATAGAATAGGTATATATATTTGGTTTTAAAATGGTAAGTGTACTCATAAGAGAAAAAATGTGTGTGCAAGTAGTAAAAAAGGGAACATTTTTTACTTTTAAATCTATATATATTCTCTCTCTCTCTCTCTCTTTTAAAGAGTAAATTACAAATATACCCCTAAGATTTACTTAAAATACGAATTGCTCATGTGATTTGAAAAATTACAAATACCTCATTGTCAGAATCTTTTATTTAACAAAATTAATTGAAAAAGTGAAATTTCTAACTATTTACCTATACAATAATAAAATTATTTGAATTATTAATTGAAATAAAATTTTAACATTGTTAAAAATTGTTAATTAACTTGATAATTTATTAATAGAAAGACCTATTTATTATGAAATTAGAAACCCTGGGGGCACAATGTAATTTTTAAAATCACAAGGGATAGTTTATAATTTAAATAAATCTCAAAGTGTGTATTTATAATTTATTAATTTTTTTTTCTATGATTGCTAATACTAATTCCCATTAAGTTTTTAAGAACTTATTTTTTTTTTATAAAGAAACACTAAAAATCATATTTTAAATATTTTTAAAATCATTTTTTATTAAAAAAAATTATATAAAAATGATGACTATTTATTTATTTTTACCAATTTAAATTTAAAAAATCAAAATAAATTCTGAAAATTCAAAAAAAAAAAAAAAAACCAGGGAAGATGTCATGCCTTTCCTTCTTGTTATTGTATCACCTGAAATTGGAGGGAAAAAGAGAGAGAGAGAGAGAGAGAGAAGATGCCAGTGGCACGACCCGAATCATCTGGTGCAGGGGTCATCGCTCACCTCGACGTGGACTGTTTCTACGTTCAAGGTTTCCTCTCTCTCTCTCTCTCTCTCTCTCTCTCTTGTGTTTTGATTAATTGTCGGGGTTTTTAGGGTACTTTTATTCTGGAGAATGAAGTGTTCTGTTTCAACAAATTCAATGGCGAAACCCAACATTTTCCCTTTGATTTTCTACATTTATTGAGTTACAAACATTCTGCTTCAATTTTGTTTTCTGTTTATTTATCGAAATTATTAAGTACCTGATATTATAACCCAATTAAGCAATTTTACAAACATGTAACATGCAAAACCATAAGAACCCAATTCTGCAATTTTATAAAGATGTTATACATGACCATTGTCTTTAATTCCTGACACTATTATGCTCTATTGGTTCACTGGAAAGTGAGATGGAAATTGGAATATAATATAATGATCATTCCGTTACATTGGTAAATGATGATTCTATTTGTAGTGTAATTTTTAATTTTTTTTTTTAGTCAACCAAACATGCATGGAAATGGATATTTTGATGGAATGATAATTCCATTCCAGTGAGCCGACATTACCTTGGAGTCTTGTGGAACTAAAACATGTATGCTTCGGAGCAGGCTGTGCAGTTCATGATGATATTTTTTGTTCATTTCTTCAAATTATTATTTAACTGATCGCTGTTATTCATTATCAAACTCTTGCATTATATTCCAATTAAGCAATTTCACAAGCATGTAACATTTGAAACCATAAAACCCAATTTTGCATCATGATTTTAATTGTAAATAATACACGTGGGTTAAAAATGCATATCAAACAGAAATTGACTTCGGTTTCATTACATCATATATGGAATATAGTTTAGTTTAGATGAAGAGACAATCTTTTTATCATTAACTGAAAACAAATATGATTTTGCAAACCCTTGCCAATTATCATATGTTTTCCCTATTTTTGTTTGCATGTCACACTGCAGTTGAGTGTAAGAACACCATTCTGGCAGAGCTCCCATTTCATTGTTTTCAGTTTTCTTTAAATAATGATGGGCAAAGGCTCACCAAAAGAGAGAAGAACATAATTTTCGTTGTGAACTTTCTTACCTTGTGATATGGGATCCTTGATTTGGTCAGGCTAATTGGTATTTGTTTTGTCTATGTAGTGGAGCAACGTGAACAGCCCCATTTAAGGGGTCAGCCCACTACTGTGGTACAGTACAACTCCTGGAAAGGTGGGGGTTTGATTGTTGTCAGCTATGAGGCCTGTAAATATGGGGTGAAGCGGTAAGTATTCGTTACTTATATTTTCTGAGTACTTCATGTATGACTAGATCTTCTTTGACTGGTGAAATCTATTATGTGGGTTTTTTAAGTTCAATGCGAGGTGATGAAGCGAAGCAAGTTTGCCCACAAATCCAACTTGTCCAAGTCCTTGTTGCTCGTGGTAAAGCTGACTTGAGCATATACCGAAATGCGGGTTCAGAGGTTTAAAGAATTCATAGGCGATCTTGACAGTTTTAGGATTGTTATATGTAGAAATTCACTTTGAAAAGGAACTCATGGTTGAGTAAGCTTCAACTTGCAGGTGGTTTCTATTCTTGCAAGGAAGGGTAGATGTGAGCGTGCTTCAATTGATGAAGTGTATCTTGATCTCACTGATGCTGCCGAAGCAATGTTAGCAGAAACTCCTCTAGAGAGCTTGGAAAAAATTGATGAAGAAGCTCTAAAATCTCATATCTTGAGTCTTAATGAGGTAATTAATGGGGCTTCTTTGACAAACAGCACTGCTCAGAAAATGAATGTTCAGAGTTTGAGAAGATTTTGAAACTGTTGATGTTAAAGATATTAATCATTATATCATGTTTAAGTAATGTATTTCAGGGCAAGTCAATAGAAATGCAAGATAGGATGTTTGATAAAGAAATTCTTCTAAATTGTTTGCAATTTGCTCCCTTGGCCCACCAAATCGCAAAGATATTAATATCATTTGAATATTCTACTATTTTTGAGGTTTTTGTATGTTTTTATGCATAAAACTGAATAGTTCAGAAATAACTTAGAAAACACAAAAGTGAAATTTAAATAATTTGACAAATTTTGGTTTTTCACTTCTTCATTTTTTAATTTTTTATTTTTTATAGTCAAGGAGCACACATACACCAAAATTTTTTTGGTAGGCTTTCTCTGGGACATTTAAGTTGGAGTATGACATGGAATTGTCAATTGATGTCGAATGAGTACTATATTTGTGGGTTGGAAGTTCAAGAAGGTTGAATCTTTTAAGTTTTAAGCATATGATAGGCTTTATCTGGCAGTTGAAGTTCTTTTGGCGTTCTAGGTTGGTGATTTTCATGCCATTTAGTATGTTACAAATCCGAGAATTTTATTTTATATATATTTTTTGTAATATTAATTAGATAATCAAAGAAACATTGCATTGGTTTATAAAGTATATGCAATGTTATTAGATTTCAGTATTGGCTATTGCTATACATACGTTAGAATTGTTCTTTGTTGAGGAATGTATACCAAATGGTCGATGACACATTGAACCTTTTATCTGAAAAATTGAGATAACAGATAATCAGTATTTTCAGATAATTAATTTATAGCATGCAATCACGTTGGATTAGATTCTATTGTATCAGAATATTTTCAGATAATTAATGTAAATCTCTCTACCAAGAAACTAATTGGTGAGGGAATAATTGAAGTTCTTTTCTTGAATGACGTAATTCCATGCCTGTTCATTTTGCATTTCCAACAGCTGCTATTCTAATATTGGTGTTGGATCTAGGATGGAAGTGATCACAAAGGCAATGTGAAGGAGTGGCTCCACAGGAGTGATGCCGATCACCATGATAAGTTGTTAGCTTGTGGGGCCCTTATTGTTGCAGAACTTAGGATGCAAGTTTTGAAGGAAACTGAGTTCACATGTTCTGCCGGAATTACTCATAACAAGGTGGGATCCAGTGTGCAATTTCGTTGTTTGTCTTTTATATTGCATCATCTTATGGAAGGGAAACTATCTTCATTTGCATATGCTGGCCAAACTAGTAAGTGGTATGCATAAACCTGCACAACAAACTGTTGTGCCCTTCACATCTGTTAAAGGATTGCTTGAACATTTACCTATTAAGAAAATGTAAATTTTGCTTCAGATAGTCATATTACTTGTTATTTCAATTCTTAAACTTCAATTTTCTGTTGAAATGCTATGTATTGTTGTCATATTACTTATTTCTTTTAATTTGTTAAAGAAATAATTACATTTTCTCGTTGTTTTAGTAGTATTTTTAGCATTTCTTTTTACAGTGAATGAAGTGACGAGCTAGTATGGTCTCCTAGAAAGCAATGCAGCACTGAATATGCTTTGACACAAAATTTACTTGCAGGAAACAGCTTGGGGGAAAGCTTGGGAGTTCCTTACAAATTGACCTTGGTGTGAATACTGTTGGGGAGCTATTGCAGTTCTCAGAAGAGAAGCTACAAGAACGTTATGGCGTAAATACTGGGTCCTTATCTATCTCTAAGCACAGTGTTAGAATGTTTGCAGTTCCCAGATTGTTAGCAAAATTCATTTGAACAAATCTAACTGGATTTTTCAAAAAAAATCACTATTATCTTGCCCTTTAAATAATTTTAAATTAGTCCAACTCCACTTTAACTGACATGATTTCTTTCTTGGTTTGATTCTCCTTTTTAACTTCTTTCAAATCTTGGCCAAATTTTGGCCAGTTCATGTCACCTCTCTTCCCAAAATTTTCATTGGATTTATCCATTTTTCCTGAGTTTCATTTTTCTATGTGCGATTATTTCTAGATTTCAAAATGATATCGGTAGCTATACATTTTTCCTTTTAATTTTTGGCCCACCGATCATGGCAGGATTTGACCACACAATTTTATGCGACCTTTCTTTGACGTGTTCAAAACTCTTATAGGATTATTGTTTAGCATATAAGGTTTATTTGAACTCTAAAGGATGATGGTTTTGAGCTAGATGCTTATTTGGATGTTACTTCTGATTCCATCTTTTTCTTGCAATTCAGAACTTGGTTATGGAACATTGCCAGGGGAATTAGCGGGGAAGAGGTAGAGGGTCGCCTTCTTCCCAACAGTCATGGTTCTAGGAAGACAGTTCCTGGCCCTCGGGCTTTGAAAAAGATTGCTTCAGTATGTATTTGTTACCTATTAGTCTTTCTACAGAATCATGCTGCTTCTGTTCTTCTTATTCATTTTAATATTTATTATATTTATCTAAATGTATTAGTGAATCTACATAATCAATTGTTTAGTTGAAGTTTCTTCATTAATTCCTTTTCCTTTCTCTGCATTAATTTAGATAGCACTGCAGTTTCTTGATGATATTGTGGTTCTCTTATGTTGACTTGATGTGGTCAGTTTAGACTTGGGATTGATGCTAGATGTGGCTTTTTAACCATTTTATCTAGTTTATCAAAGTTAAAATGATGCAAACAAGGAGAGGACCAAGAAAAAGGAAATTTAAACAGAGAAAAATTTGGAAGGAAAAAAATGGGGCTTAGTTTCAAGGTGAGATCCACTAGGGACATAGATATCTTTGCAGATCTCTGATTTTTGTTTGTTTGTGATAACTTCTCTTTTCATGGTCCTATAACAGTCACAATTTCAGCCACCTAACTCTACTCAATGAAGCCCAAGTTGTACCAAACCTTTTCCCCTACCCTTTAACCTTTGATTTAACTCCAAAAACCCATAAAATTATTGCTCTCTAGAGACTTTCAACACCTATTTGCTGAAAATCCTGTGACCTGCACCATTGAAAAGCAAACCAATTATGATTATCACCCATTTCTAGCTAGAAAACCCAGACGTTGTCTTCTACTCTCTAAAACCTCAACCTTGTAAGTTCTTGCCCTAAACCCTCCACAACATTAATTGTAGGATCATTATTACAAGTTTTCTTAAGGTATCCTACATCCGTATCAACTTCAAAGTCTGGCCACTTACTAGCCCTTCTCCATCCATCGCTCTTAGCACATTTACTATGCCTTTTAGATCCCTAACCTACTAGCTATTCATGATATGAGGCCACTAAGTAATCAATTTTAGGTTGTTCTTTTCTTAGGTTGCAAGTGCCATCAAACATTCAAAGAGCTAGTTTTTATTTGGTAAGTAAAGTACTGTATCAGAACTCTACATTAGCCTATTAAAATGTATCATGTTTATTTTTCATAGTTTTTTATACGGGCTGCACCCCCTTGATGCCTTTTTTTATATAATTATCTTTATCATCTTTATTCATAAAAAATGTTTATTTTTCATAGTTTTATTATTCAAAATAACTGTGGCATATGCATGTCCATGTCCAAAATTATGCCTTGGCGATCACCTTTTATTGGGATTTGGGATTTGATTTGTTTATATCGAAGTGCCAGTAATGCCATGTCTTCATTCATAAAAAATTCTTTGGAGAAATCTTATGATGATGGTTTGGTCATTCTCTGTCTGTTACTCTGTTTCAGGTTGAACACTGGCTTAATGAACTTTGTGAAGAACTGAGTGAATATCTTCATTCTGACCTGGAGCAGAATAAGCGAATTGCACATACACTCACTTTGCATGCTAGAGCTTTCAAGGTAGTTACTTTTTCTTCTGATTCTCTCTTTCACATCTTAGATAAGCTTTCCGTCTCTGGGCAGTCCAAATGTTTGCAAATATTTTGAATACCTCAACTCCAACACCTACTTGTGTTGATTATGTCATCCTGCAGTCCAGTGACTCTGAGTCGCAGAAAAATTTTCCTTCCAAGTCATGTCCATTGAGGTATGGCTCTACCAAGATCAAAGAAGATGCCCTGAACCTATTTCAAGCGGGGTTATGTGAATTCCTTGGCTCACACAGAATCAAGGCTCAGGGAAGTCACTACAATGGATGGGGAATAACTTCTCTTTCTGTTACGGCCAGCAAAATAGTTGCTATTCCATCTGTAAGTTCAAATTTTTTTGTTGTCTCATATTTTATTATCATGCAATGTCCATTTTTGAACAACATATTTATACTTGTTTGGATATGCAATTTTTAGTAGTAGGAGTTTGCCTTGCCATTAACATGGTATGATGTCATTAAGCCCAAACCTAACAACTCTGCAAGGATCATACTAATTAACCTGGGTTAAAGAAGCTTCAGAGACCTTATTTATCCAAAAAATTAACCTGGGTTAAAGAAGCTTCAGAGACCTTACTTATCCAAAAAATAAATAAAAAATGAAGAAGCTTCAGAGACCTTGATAAAACTATTGACACCTTACTGTTGCTTCACATTTGCTCTGTACTTTTGTGGATGTCCAATGAGCATTGCTTAAGTGAGCTTTTACTGACAGGAATTGAAGTTGGGTTGGTGACAAGTGGAGCTAAGTTTGGTATGACATAGGCTATGCAACTTTGAACAGTTTTAACTTAAGAATTGGACCAAGCAGACTTAAATTGGTTAGTTTGGTTTAATTCCTTATGGGACTTAGTTCAGTCGGCTCAATAATTTAAAAATTGGGGATGATCAGTTTGGTTTTGATTGATGGATGGGGTAAATATTTTGTCCTTATATACTAATGCTTTCTCACCTTTTAGATTTCATCATTTAGTTCTTGGGTTTTTAATATCTTTCCTGGTTTGATATTGCCCTTTATTGTATATTTCTAATAATGATAGCCTATGTTGAGGCATTAAACTCTCTGAAATAACCTTGCAATCTTTACATATTAAGCAACATGCTCTTCTTACAAGAAAATCATCTATTTGACTCTTATTTACCTACTTTTAAAAGTTATTTAGTGTTCTTCTCCAGCCTCATTTCGGTCTCCAAAAACTATATCCACCATGTATTCTCTCATATCCTTAGTTATCTTTTTTTGCATTACTGTTGAAATCTCCAACTATAATTATCTTCTCTCCAACAGACATTTCTTGCATTAGTTCATCCAATTGATTCCAAAATTGTCCTTTAATATATTCCTCCAATCATATTTAGTCGATACTCTCAAAACCGTTGTGTTGGCTGATACTGATACCGCGATCTAAGACCATTCTTCTAACGAAAACTTTCATGAGATGAGCATATTGCAGTACATGTAGTGCCTTCAAATTATCTTGTTTCCCACTCATTTAAATATGGAAACATAATTTCTTCTTCTTTTATTATTATATTCAATACTGGTTCTTGCATACTTTTGACAGGGGACATGTTCAATCATGAAATACTTTCATGGCCAAGATCAGTCCAACTGTTCGTCCAAGCAAGCGAATGACAGATTTGTCGCAGAGGCTGCACCATTGTCACCCTCCGGTACTGTTCTCATACTGTATGTTGCTTTTTGTTTCTTTTTATTTTAGTTTTAGCATTAGTTTTGCAATTTTGGTAAAGTATGGCATTCTTTCAGGAACTGAAAGATATTCAGAGTTGCATACAACTGAACTGCCCATAGAATTCCGTGATTAGGTATGCCATGCCAAGTCTGGATCAACAGGAAAACAAGGGAGAAGTATCTACGAGAGAGGTTTGCATTTATGTTGGCTTGAATTTAGTTTATTGATTAATTGTTTTAATAGGTACCAATATATTGTTACAAGAAAGCTAAGGCAGTTACGATGCTTTTACATCTGTCAGTCTAAGGTTTTAACAACCAACCGCTCTAGAAGCTTAACCTGTTAGAAAGCAGTGTAACTTGTTATTTATATCATCACACCCCTTCAGTAAGCTGTGGAAGTAATAATTGGTTTAGCTTGATCACATGACATTATAGCTACGTGACCTTCAACAGTAGCTCTGATGCATGATATCTGATTGTATTATTTGCAAATAATTTTGTCTTTGTAGGATACACGTGAAACCATGCAATCCGCTGATGACCAGGTGATACCTTGTTCTTTGTCCAAGCAGGCACATGATGCTTTCATCCAAGAAACTTCAGCATTGTCATCCTCAGGAAGTGATCTTGCTCCTTGGCTTTGGATCCGGTCATTCTTTTCTTTCTACCTTCTTTGTTGTTACTTTCTTTTGTTTTCGTTATATCTTCCTTTTGCATTATTAGCTCGTGGATTTGCATTAGCATATCATATAGTCAGTTTTATCTGTGTTAGTCTTTTGGGTCTGTTTCTTATTGAGATTATGATCATAGTTAGTTTAGTTTTGGACTATTGGCTAGATTAGTTATATGGTTTGACTTTTAAAATCCATAGACTTATTGGACTGTGCTTCTGGATAGTCACGTTATGTGCACATCACAGCAGAGCTTTGTGCATTTGAACACAAAGGTCTTCTGTTTGAACGAAAACGAGTTGATGCTATGTAACTGGATACTAAAGTGATCACTGTTCGAATACAAGGTGGTTCATTTAAATGCAGTGCCTTTTGTTTGGACATATATGCCACTTGTATGGCAATATTGTATGCGTTTCCTTCCATATGCGGAACAGAGTTTTGGTAACTTCTAAGTACTTGTTCCCTTAGTTTTTCATTTTTTTTTTTTCTTTCTATATATACATGCCTTGACTTGTTTGTTAGGGTAACAAAGAGTTGAGTATTCATTGATCATTGGGAGAACTTGAGAGAGCTTTTCATATAGTCCATATTCCTTCAAGTTTTTTAGTGATTTTTGAGTGTGCAAAGGTCTTGGAGATCTTTGTGTTGAATCTAAAACTTGCGAGTGCGTGTTGGAATTGGTTCCTTGGGTAGCTCTGCATTTATATGGATTTAGGGCGCATACATTGATCGACGTATGTAGCTGATTGCCTTCGTTTAGATTGACGTGACTAGTGGAGATTTGAAGGTATATGTGGAAGCAGATTGGACTATGAAACTACCCTTGGTGTTTAGTAAGTAGGATCTATGTGTCTGATTTTGGTGAAACTCGTACTCGATATTGATTACTAGTAGATTTTTGCATCTGTGGTTTTTTCCTGGGTTTGGGCTTCCTCATAAATCCTATCTCTTCAAATTGTTTAAATAACCTAGACTAATTTGAATTAAATATGTTGGATTAAAAGATTCCTGTCAGTTCTGTTTAAACTGAAAAAATAAATGCAGCTGTGTGGCATGTTTCACAGGGACAGAAAGCTGTTTGGCACTGAATCCAGTTGAGCCACACAGGGAATTTCGTAAGGAGGAAATTGGGATCAAGAATTTAATGCATGGTATGAAACCACATGATCACAAAAGAAAGATGGTGAAAGACAAGGTTTGAATAAAATCTTCCCTTTTTGTTTCACAGTTTTATTGTTGTTTTCTTCTATTAAGATCTGTATTTATCTGTTCACAAATGAAAAAAAGAAAAAAGAAAAATGCCTCAGCAACAATTTGTGACTTATCTTGTTACCTATGATTCATTTTCTAAACTGCCCCTTGTGGAAGGGATCATCTACAATCTTGAGATTTTTTCAGAGTTGCAACAACTCTTCCTCTACCCCAAGGCAAGAGCATGTTGGAACTATTGATGAAACTAAAGCATCTTCATCCTCGAGTAATTCTGAGATCTACCTTTAAATCCAAATTCATGCCAAGTCTCTCTCTCTCTCTCTCTTTCTCTCTCTCTCATGTTTGATTTTGGTGCAGGCTTTCAGTCAATAATTGGCAGTTCTGAACTGATTGAAGTTGAGCTACGCAAAGAGAACCTGCTTACACAGGCGGGAACACATAATGGCATGTCAATTTTAGATCGAGATGATATGAGAAGGGATGCGTAGGATTACAAGATTGATGAGATTGACCCTATTGTGGTTGATGAGTTACCACCTGAAATCCAGGAAGAGTTGCAAGTGTGGCTCCGACCTCAGAAGCGGGCAGCTAATATTGCAAACGTGGGTCTAGTATTGCTCATTATTTCTTGCCCACGAAAAATACATAAGCAAGTCGAAAGTAATCAGAACCATCATTTTCTCTGTTTTATGTATTATTTTTTTATGAGCCACTTCCCTATAATTCACAAGAAAACGGAGTCTCGAAAATCCAAAATCCTTTCTGAAAATCCTAAGTGATTCGTTATTAGATCAAGATTAAAATATTTCAAATCTCAAGTATCTAAAACACACAATCTAAACCAACAAGCACTTACGTAAGTGATTTAGATTGTTTGTTTTTTAGAATAAACAATAAATCGACACAAACGATTTTTACGTGGAAAAAATCACAATTGAAGAACCTTCAATTGTAATCAAAAACTACGGGCGAAACGCCACTAATCAATTCACTATTGAAGTAAGAAAGATTACAAAGATAACGCACAAATTACCCCACTCAGTCAATTTGTTTTCGAATCTTCTGTAACTCTTTCACCACGCATTCGTCTCGGAACTGATCAATCCTGAAGTTGAATCCACAACTTCACTTGTCGAATGAACGACTACGTACAGAATCAAACTCCTTTTTGATACTCTACGCTTGAATCTTCGGAATCTACCGAAGAGATCTCTCTCTTGAATTTAAAGTAACCAACTCCTTGATGTATGTATCTTAGATCATGATTGAAGAACTCTTCTCAAAACATCAAAGAAAACTCACAAAAACCTCAGAACAAAACTTCAAACAAAACCCTAGGACTCTTGAATAAGATCTCAGAAAAAGTAGTCCTAAAAACAACCTAGACAGGTATAAATAGGAATCCTGAGTCTGCGATCTCTGCTCGAGCGCCCAACATCCCGCTCGAGCGGCTTCAGCAAAATTTGCGTGCGACAAAACAAATTTCCGCTCGAGCGCTTGATGACCCGCTCGAGCGCGAAATCATACCTTCCAGTATTTTTACAGACCTGACAAAATACTGAGAGACTACAATATCCGCTCGAGCGCCAATGGTCCCGCTCGAGCGGGAAGAACAAAAACACAGGAAAATTACAACTTGTTCAACAGAAAGTTTTGTACCTGAATTTGACAATCAAGGGACCTAACAATCTCCCCTTTGTCAATTCCCGGACAAAACCTTTCTAAACAAATTTCCTTAAACACACGCACTAGACAAGATTAATAAACAAGAAAAAAAGACTCTAAACAACTCTATTCTCAAACAATCTTGCCCTGTGATCAATCAATCCATCAATCCAACTTCATTCAACATTCACCTGTGAAATAGCTAGCAACATACCAGAAAAACAAAACTTGTGGAACTGTATAAGAATATACCAAAACATACATAAAAAGAGAACCATGATACAGTATCCACCAACTACAATAACAAACCTATTCGAATATCAACAAGGTATCCAACATATCCAAACATGAACAAAATATCCATAGAAACAAAATATCAAAAAAAATGTATACTACAAAGACATAAAGATCATCACAAAAAAAAATGTATACCACCAAGATCCACCAAGATCACCACTGTATCACCGATCTCCCCTTTTTTGACCGGGAATCAAGGAATCAATGAATCATGCACCAGGGGGAGGTGGTGGCTGCTGAAGCTGAAGTAAGGAAATGATGTGGGCCAACTGAGAAGTAGTGTGGACGGCAGTCTGCTCCAACTGACCAAGGCGACCATCAAACGCATCAAAGCGGGCATCCAGAAGGTCCAATCGCCGGGTCATAGCCTCCTCAAAATGCTGAAGCTGATCATGAAAAGCTCGAAGTGGAACCGGGGGAATAGCATCCTCCTCACCCCCGGCTGCTGCAGCGTCAAACTCAGCCTCCTCAGCTAGGCCAGTAGTGGTACCTGCAGAAGTATCAGCCCGAGAAGACTCCCCCTTAACATGAGCCCGACTCTGAGAAACAGTTTTCTTTGTGAATGGTCGGGAGGGAAAGGCAAACTCATCATCCTCGAACACTGGAACCCCAAGTTCAGACAAAAGACGGTTGATCAGACAACCATAAGGAAGTCCTAACTGTTTATTCCCAGAAACACCTATCATTTTCTTAATAATCAGGGTAGCTAGATCAATGGACATGTGACGGGCGATACAAAACTAAACAAAACCTTGGTCTTGATTAATTTCAGGGGAGTGAGTGGTCACAAGGATGTTTGCACAAACAATCAGATTAAGCAGTCTAAACTTCGGAAGAAGTTCAAACTGTTTAATCAAAGCACCCGTAGGCCAAGGACGGGAAGTACCACATAACACCTCAGTCACATTATTAAAATCACAAGTAGGACGGCCTGGAACAGGAAAAGGATAGTGTTGAGGGTACACTTGATCAATCTTAAGAAGATGGCGAATGAGAGCAGGTGTTACAGAGATGGACTTGGACCGAACCCAAGTAGTGAATAAAGGCTCAAAGTCACTAATTTGCTCAAAATTGCAGTAAAATTCTCGGATCCAGTCGAGATTTTGACGCCCAGAAAAAGACAACACCAAATCACCACCTAGAGGATCAAACAATGGACGGATAGGGATAGACTCAAAAATGTTAGACTGGACATTCCGTTCTAGGTGAACAGTGCGAGCCTCAAAAGATTGATCGAACAACTTGTCTTGCTTAGCAGTCTGAAACCTCTCAAAATTAAAGGTAGGACGAGACACTGTCGCCTTTCGGCGTTTAGGGGCGGACATGATGAGATGAGAGATAACTAAAACCCGAAAACCCATCAAAGCCAAAAAGAAACCAAACCCGAAGAGCAAAACAGGCACAATACAGAGAACATTAGTAACATTAAACACATAATGCATAAGCATGGAGGAAAAATAGCAATGATATGCAGAAGAAAAAAAAAATGTGCATAATGGCAATGGCAGAGTATCAATGACCTAGTGATGCTAATCACTGGTATAAAAACCAAGAGAACTCCTCTGACAACACTACTCCATCTGGTGGTCAAAACTATTTCTCACACTTGTAGCACAAACACAAATACCTCAAGCAAGTGGAACACACAACCCTAGGTTGAATGGATAACACAGACGCCATACGCACAAACATGAAATGCAACATGAGGAAGACAAAACGACTCAGTGAAAGTGTGTGAGAGAAAGGGAAAAAAAATGAAACACAAAAAAACCCAAAAAACCAGGAATACAACCCCCAAATGTGCCAAAATTTAAAAAAAAACAGACAAGAAGAGAGGGAAACACTTACTAATGTGGAAATCGGCAAGGGAGAGGAAGAAGGTAGGTGAAATCGAGCACACAGAGCCCACGAGCCAAACCCTAGGTCTGAGAAACTGAAGAAGAGGGAAAAAAATGACCTGAAGAGTCGAGGGATGGAGTTTTATACAAAATAGGTCCGCTCGAGCGTATGTAGTAACGCTCGAGCGTGAGTCAAGGCAAACTGACACCTGCTCGAGCTCGAATAAGGACGCTCGAGCGCAAAAATACCTCTCTCAGAACTGTAAAGCAAAGAGCAAATTACTGCAAGGCGCAAAAACACGCTCGAGCGTGGAAATATCCGCTCGAGCGGGGTAAAAAAACCACACAATTTTTTTTTAAAAATAAAACAAGAAACTCAATGTCTAAAAGAGAGACCTGGGACAAAAGTAGATGATCACATTTAGCTAACATTGACGACGAAGATGTAATAATCTGCAATTCATGAATTCCGTAAACTTGCAATGTTAGAAAAAAAAATGACACTGGAAATCATGAGCAAAGCAGATAAAATAGAATCAATGATCATAAGCTACAGGAGAATGGATAACTCAAAATCCAACATGAGAGCTCACAAAAAAAAATGTGTGTGTGCAATCCATGAGAGGTCACTGAGCTAGAGTTAATCCTAGTAGTGATCGGATGGCTGGACCTCCATCAAGAGTAACTCAACAATACAGAGAAAAGTCAAACCACTAAGAATCACGGGGTATTTGTTGAGTAAATGCGGAGGCTCCCCCTCAATTAATGAGTCTCCCTTTTTTTTTTCTTTTTTTTTTTGACATTTTCTTTCTTGTGGGCACTCACTGGTGGCATTCACTCTCAAGAGTATGGAAACCAAACCAGAGAAGAATGAAATCATAAAGGATGGCCTGGTTGGTGCCTCTGAGGTAGCCTTTTCCTAATGCCCAGACTTCAAAGAACTAAGGGAGAAACCGTGGAAGTGAAAAATAGATGGTAGATGGTTAAGAGACTCAACATCACCCATGATATGCTAGTATCGGTCAATTCCACTGTAAAAGTACAAGAAACACTGTTAGTGGTCCATAGAAAACTTTGATCACTTGTGTGGAAACCCCTGCAGCAATTAATCTCAAGGATGTGTACAGAATGAGATCATGAGGTTAATGAGCATGGGCATTCAAAATGAGCTATGACCAATGAACAATGAGATCTTGTAAGCAGCATGAGTAGTGTAAAAAAAATTGGATGCAAGTAAAACAGATATCAATGATAATGAGATTATCACATCCAAGCATTCATAAGGCACAAACATTTACACCTACTCAAGAAACAAGTAACACTCTAGTGATCGAGCATGACACCCAAGGTCTTTCTAAGGAACTCAAACCGAAGAAGATCAAGGGGTTTTGTAAAAATATCAGCTTTTTGATGCTCAGTGGAAATATGTTCAATAACAACAAGGCCCTCTTCCACTAACTCTCGAATAAAATGATAACGAATGTCAATATGTTTGGTACGAGAGTGTTGGACAGGATTTTTTGAAATGTTTATGGCACTTGTGTTATCACAGAAAAGAGTAAGAGTGTTCTGTCCTACATGTGAACCAATTCAAGAGGACGTTTGGTTGCAAAGCTGTTCACCTTTTTACGAGGGGCACGGGTTTGCTTTCCAAGTTGACATGGTCCGCACACATGGTAATCTCAGCTGTAGTATCAGTAGAAAACCAAACCCCATACCCCAATGTCCCATTAACATATTTAATGATGCGTTTGATAGCAAGAAGATGAGACTCTTTAGGACTAGCTTGGTAACGGGCACAAACACCTACACTGAAAGTAATATCAGGACGACTGGCTGTGAGGTACAAAAGACTCCCTATCATACTCCTATAAAAGATAGGATCAACATCAATACCAGAGAAAT